ACATAAACCTCTCCCAACTACCATATTTATGCAAATTCTTGGATATTAAATACTCCCATGGACGATCCACTTCCAAAATCATCAATGTGGTGTTCCAATACCTTAAGCAACTCCCATTGCACTCATTTTAACCAATGGAATCAGATTCATACTCCTATGAACTGAAAATCTATATTCCAAGTCAAACTGTACCATAAATCATCATAAATGAGGGAGAGAAAGGAAGAAGAAGGCACCATAAACTTACTTTAGATGTTAGGGAGCTTTAAGCCTTAATGTGATCCCACAATGTGCCTAGCTAAGCAAAAGAAGAGCTCTTTAGTTTCTCCTTCCTCTTTTCCATTTTTCTCATGTAGAAACAAATCAGATATATTTGATTGTTAGCCATATGTCATGGTGCACACTGCCCTCCACCGTGGCACATAACACAAAGTAGCCCATTATTCAAATTTGTCTCTGTCTGCCACAGTGGACTGACTACGCGTCGTAGCATGTGGCACAGAGAACAATTCTTCACTTTTTTCTTCCCTTTTCCTTGCTCGGGTGGCCCACCATGAATCCAAAACCACTTCTAAAGTTGAAATCACCACAAATACACCAAGTTAAGCCCCTCTGGCCACATACCTCATCAAATCACTAATCACCCTCATTAGGTTAATAAACTAGGATTAAATTTTCTCGGATGTTACATGAAACAAACTCCCAATCACTAGATAATTGATGCCCTAATAGAGAAACCTCCTTCTCACCCTTCAGATGCATTTTCCCTTACTTCCTCTTCTAATTTCATGAGCTGGAAATGTCAACTTTAAGTAAATTTTGTGCCATGCGTATTGCTCATTATACTTGAATTTAAGTGAATTCTTTCACATGCCATGGCATATTCTTATGTTTTACCCAGATTATGTTGTTCTAAATAAGTTTTCCTTTAGCATTTTTTGCACCTAATTTGTGTGCTTCTGCTATGTAATATTTTATAGCATGAGTATTTTCAAGAATTGTTTTTCAAATGCTTTATGTTGGGATCCCAACCCTTTAAAGAAAATGATGTTAAATTTTTTGGTAGATTGTGTGGAAGATTGAATAGTAATGTCAATGAGGGCATTACATTTCTTGGGGCTTAAGGAAGAGGAAATTTAAGGATCTTGATGTGAATAGTAGGCAAGCAGTGCAAGAAGATGAAAGTGTGAATAAAGGCAAGTTTGAGAATGAGCAAGCTGTAGAAGAAAAAGGAGAGGCTCAAGTTATGGATGTTGAGCATACTGTGAAAAAGGCAAGTGGCTTTAATACAGTTACAACCTTTGCTAAGACATATGGTGATTTTGATAATGCTAAGCCATCTACTGAGTCTAAGTTAGAAGTTAGTACTCCTTCAATTAGGCCATCTAGGGTTCTAATTAAGGAATTATTCATGAAGCTCATGCAGAAGGATCTTATTGTCTTTTCGCCACTGTTGCCTCTGACTACACTATTAGAATTTAGGGAAATTGTTAAGCTATAACCTCAGTCCTCTCCTTAACCTTCATATAAAGAAATTGAAGACAAATTTAAAGCTGAAGGTCTACTTATTCCTATTACTTTGCCCTCTGATTTTTCAATCTAGTTGAGTTAGTTCATATGCTCATTGATAATGACAAAAAGGGGAGAAGAAATGAGAAGAGCAAAAAAAAAGAGAAAGTAAGAAAGGCTGAGTCTGAACAGAGTGTTGAGATTATAAAAGACTCAAGGAAACTCAAGCATAAAGGGGAGCCAGTAATAAGGAAGAAAAGAACTGCAGCTCCTAGAGTAAGGAGATATAGGCTAAAGGTTGCGAAGGAAGACACCAGTGGGGGAGCCTGGCCTAATGGCTCCCCAAGCTCCCTTTAAGCTTTATATAGGGTCCACTAAACCTAAAAAAGTCATCTACTTATTATAAATCCTAAAAAAACCCTTAATTAATTAGTTATCCCCTATTAATTAATTTAGTTAATCCTATTTTACATTTTGGGATGTTACAACAACTATCCAATACATGCTTGTCTTAGAACTAATCCAAACGTGTCTGAGTTCACAATAGAAGTAAGGTGCTTTTGACTCTTGATACATGCCTGCATTAGTGAGACCATATGCTTGAACTAGCTAAAAGTGAACCAAGCCTTTTTGCCTAGATCTAATACATGTATGTCTCTACCTTATACACCCTTGAATGAGATTCTAATAATGAATTTTATACATTTTGTAGAAAAAGAGCTTTTTCTATTTTCCTTCACTTCTACACATCTCCAATGGCTCTAAACTACTTTTTGAGTTCTCTTAAGATGTAAATAGGACATCATTTAAATGAGTGGGTTATAATTATCCTAAGCTATAGATAGGGCCTCATTTAAGTGAGTAGGTAACAATTTGTTGAGCATTAAGTGTGTTGCATTGAATTATTACCAACTACATTCAAACTTATGTGAAAAAGCTTTCACTTGGTTTATAAGCTTTAAATTGTATTCTATCTACTCTTTTAATGAGTTTCTTATTTGAAAATCCTTTTCATTTATATTGAAATTTTAGATAGAGATTTTTCTAAGTGTGATTTAACTTACAAGTGTTGTAAGTCTCTGATTTGTGAAATCAAAATTGGTGTAGTCTTGTGATCTATATTATGGTAATAAGTACCCTTTGAAGCTTGTATTTATAGTAAAAAATCTCAAATGAGATTTTGAAGACTGGAAGTAGGCTAAGTGATTAGGCTAAACCAAGATAAATTCTTTTGTGCAAAGCTTTCTCCATCCTTAATCTCATCTATTTTATAAAGCTCTTTGAATTAATTTGTTTTGTGATAATTTTTATATGATTATAAGTATTTTTGTTGTCTTTGAGTTTATTAGGTTGAATTGTTGCCTCTTATAAGAAAAAGGGAATAGACTATTTAGATTAGTCTTCCAGTCTTGTGGACTAAGTTTGATATAGCTTGACCATAGGTTCTTTAGGGATAAGACTAGATTATAGGTTGCCTAACCCAGGGTAATTTTGGTTAACATCCCAACCTAGGTTGGGACGGCTTAAACCTATGTTGGGATGTTAAAAGTCCAATAGGTGTTTGTTGGGATAAAAAGAAAAATGAACTAGTGTTAGAGGATAATGGGCGTTTTCAACAAAGTTGTTAGATGGAGCTTTCTACTGGGTGTTAGGGAGGACGTTGAAAACATTTAAATTTTTTTTATCATTCTCTCTTTTCAATCTTCAAGAATGCTCAACTTTGCTCTACTTTTGGCCTTCACAAGTCTTCATGAGATAGCTCTTCACCTCCTTCTCGTCACTACAGATTTGATCGAAAATTGTGCTTGTTACTATCGTAGCCGTTAGATATTCCGTTGACTGTGTGTTGCTTGCATATGGTGTTTGGGTTTGCTTATTATCGTTCCTTGTTTCTTCTTGCATTTGTTTACCTATCGTCTTCTTGCAGGGGCTTTCATGGTGATCACCAACTAGATTTGCATGTCCCTACCTTCGGTGGTCGTTGTTTGCATGGATTTATACTTGAAGTTGAAGGTTTTGATGTAAAAGTGATGGGCTACAAGAAGAATCGAAATTCCTGAAAGCAAGGAAATTGCATGATGATCAAAGGAGCATACATTTTTCTCTAAAGTCAAAAATAGCTAAGCTTTGTGATATCCTTCATGTCCCAAAATGATGCCTATTTCTTTTGATTTTGTCCCTTCCCATGTTGTTTTCTTACTAGCAGAAGTGCAATCTATTTGCTAGATTATTTTTGTGCTGATAAAATGTGCTTTTTTTGGGATCACAATATGATAATCATTTTTGGTTGTTTGTTAGTGTTGATCAGTTTGCTAGAAAAATGTTACTTAAAGGCTACTTTTTTTTTGGCCATTTGACTTGAGACTGTTTCAACACCATATAAGTGGCAACAACTAGGTAGTTCAACAATATTTGGTTACAAGACCCCAAGAGAATTTAATTTTCTTTGCTGTTATGGAGTTTTAACCTTCTTATTATTAATTTAACATTGCAAACTTTATAGTTAAGAACTTGTGATTTTAGCTGAGAGATGGGTGAAGTTAATCTTTGTCATTTAAATTTCTGATTCTAATGGTTTGGGTTTCTTTGTTATAATGGCAATTAATGAGTTATGAGGAAATATTGACTCTAGAATATTAGAAGAAGACATGTTTATTTGAAAAGCCCATTTCAAAGTTAATAATCTCTTTTAAAAATCTTAATTTTAAAAAAGATAAAATTAAATGATCATGCTATGTTTGTTATTAATTGTAATTGTAATCTTAAATTTAATTTTTTTTTAAAAAAATTCATGTCTATTTTAGCTTTTGAACTAAATTATTAAAAAAATTTAGTTCATTCAATTATTTTTTATTTTAATATAAATTATGTTATATTTATTGTCTTTTTTTTTAACTTTAATTTGCTAAATCTTAATCTTAATTACAAATTTTTTAATCCAAATATACGGGTAGTCTTTTTGACCAAATTTACGTTAAGTTGAAGCCCAATCTTCCTTGAAATATAAATCCTAAGTTTGGTTTTGGCCATCACAAGAGAGGATCTGGGCCATCCAGATTAAAATATGAATGGCCCAAATTTTTTCAATTTTAATTTTAATTTTAATTTTATAAAATTTAAATTTATAATTTTTTGATAAATATATTAATTATTAATATGGACAATGCTGATTCAATTTCAGATTTTAAGTGATTCAATTTAATATTATAATTTTTTTAAACTGACTATTTAAATGTATTCTTGACAAGATAGATTTAATATTAATTTTTTAATAATTTTTTATTTTAATAAATATAAAATAAAAATAAAAACAAAAACTTTCTTGTGATGAGCACGTCGGTGCTCAGCATGCCGGTTCCCGCAAATCCTATTGTAGATGATGATATTAATATGGATAATTTTATTAATTAAAATCAAAATTAAATGGGTGAACGAATAAACGGACGCAAATGACCTCTCATCCTCATGGCTCCCGTCCGCCTGAGAACAAGCTCTGGTGTCCACGACGTCGTTTTGCTCTCACCCTCTCACGAATTCTTCTTGCAAAACTGGAGCCGTCTCAACAATTCCGACCATTTCCCTTCCAGCTTCATCTGTGAAGTTTTCGAAAATTTCCATAAGAGGATTTAGCAATAAGAATTGCGTTTCTCTGAGACACGGCAGATTCCAGGCAAAATCGTCAAGTGCAGAAGTAGAAACTAGCGAGCTAACGACCTCAATTTCTGGGAACAACGGCCCATCAACAAGTTTTCTATCCCTTCTTCGTCCCTTACTCAAGCTTTTATCTGTATGCACCGCTATACTTCTTGTCTCTTTCTTTCTTAACCCACCTTGTCTTTGATTTTCTGTTTATTTGTTTCCAATTAAATATAATCTTTCATCCTTGCTCAAAATATAATACACAAACTTCCATTAGCCTTCAATTTTTGACTATGTTTTGCAATTTAAATTTATTCGTAAAGTTGCAATGTATGTATATTGAATTAGTTCCTCAAGAAGAAAAGTAATTGGATTATGTGGTCCAACCGACCGTGTGGTGAGTTAGATATGTAAACATGGACTAGAGCACTAGGGGGAACGTGGGATTGAATTGTTTATTTACTTATTTTTTTACCCTCTTTGATTAGACACTACTGCTTTGGAAACTTTTTCCCCTCTGCAAATTGAGTTGAAAAGGAATCACGTTTCTGAAATTACATTGCAGTACTTTAATGTGATAGACAGTATTTGTCTACCGACATTTGAACCTGTGCCCAAGTGTTTTTCCCAGTCAATCAATGAAATACAAAGGCAAAAGCTAGCTGGCTAACATTTATCTTTGTGCAAACCGGATTGATGTTTATCAGTTATTGTGTTAGAAATATATAACTACTTGGCTAGTGAACATAACAGCACACAACAACAACAACAACAACAACAACAAGCCTTTATCCCACTAGGTGGGGTCGGCTACATGGATTGCAAGACGCCATTGTGCTCTATCATTTATTAAGCTTTTAGAAATATTATTAATTAAGAGATCACGTTCAACAACTTCCAAGAGTGTTCTCTTAGGCCTTCCTCTACCTCTCTTAATCGGACTCAAAGTTATATGTTCCACTCTTCTCACTGGTGCCTCCCTTGGTCTTCTTTGTACATGCCCAAACCATCTCAACCGATTTTCTACCATTTTTTCCTCAATAGGTGCCACCCTCACTTTTTCACGTATGTGCTCATTTCGAATTTATCTTTACGTGTATGTCCGCACATCCATCGTAACATTCTCATCTCTGCTACTCCAACTTTATGCTCTTGCTGTCCCGTTAGAGCCCAACATTCACTACTATATAACATTGCCGGTCTGATAGCAGTACGATAAAACTTTCCTTTAAGTTTATTAGGCACCTTACGGTCACAAATAACTCCTTTAGCTTTTCTCCAATTAAACCACCCAGCTTGAATTCTATGTGAAATATCTCCACTGATTTCGCCATCATTTTGGATAATGGCTCCCAAATATCTAAACTTTTCCACTTGAGGTATAATTTGATCTCCCAATTTCACTTCCAAATTATTTTCGAATAGTCCTTTATCAAATTTACAATATAAATATTCCGTCTTACTTCTACTCAGACGAAAACCTTTCGACTCCAATGTCCTCCTCCATAACTCAAGTTTGCAATTAACCTCTTCTCTTGTCTCTGCTATAAGAACTATATCATCCGCGAAGAGCATACATTTCGGGATTTCCTCTTGAATATGTTCCGTCAAAACATTTAAAATCAAGTTGAACAAATAAGGACTCAGAGATGATCCCTGATGTAGCCCAATCTTTATAGGAAAATCCTTTGTTTGACCACTAGGCGTTCTTATACTAGTTTTTACCCCCTCATACATATCTTGTATGGCTTTAATATAAGCAATCCGTACTCCCTTTTTTTCCAACGCTTTCCAAAGCACTTCTCTTGGTATACGGTCATAAGCTTTTTCCAAATCAATAAAAATCATGTGTAGATCTTTATTTTTACAACGATACTTTTCCATTAATCCCCTTAGTAGATAAATCGCCTCTGTAGTTGATCTACCTGGCATAAAACCAAATTGATTCTCAGAAATACTTGTCTCCAATCTCAACCTGTGCTCAATTACTTTCTCCCACAATTTCATTGTGTGGCTCATGAGTTTAATCCCTCTATAGTTAGTACAATTCTGAATATCTCCTTTATTTTTATAAATAGGAATTAATGTACTTCTCCTCCACTCATCAGGCATTTTCTTGGACCGTAAAATCACATTAAATAACTTAGTTAACCATCTCACCCCTTCTTCACCTAAACATTTCCACGCTTCGATAGATATACAATCAGGTCCGTTAGCTCTACCATTTGCCATTTTCTTAAGAGCTTCCTTTACCTCCTTATCACGTATTTTTCGATAGAATGACAAATTTTGTTCTCCTTCACCAGTTACTAAATCCTCCAAGTTACTAGATGAATCCTCTCCATCATTGAAAAGTTTAGAAAAATAAGTCTCCCATCTATTTTTAATTTCATCATCTGTAACTAAAATTCTTCCCTCTTCATCCTTAATACACCTTACCTGTTCTAGATCTCTTGATTTTCTTTCCCTACTCTTGGCAATCTTATAAATATTTTGCTCTCCTTCCTTCGTCTCAAGGTTCTTATAAAATTCTTCAAAAGCTTTAGAACGAGCTTCACCCACAGCTCTCTTAGTTTCCTTCTTAGCCATACGGTACCTCTCCCAATTTTCCTCATTGTTACACAAATGTATGGCTTTAAAACAGTTCTTCTTATACTTGATTTTGTCCTGTACACTATTATTCCACCACCAAGACTCCTTATCTCTCGGACCAGGACCTTTCGATTCTCCCAAAACTACTTTTGCAACCTCCCGTATCTTTTTAGCCATATCCTCCCATATGATGTTAGCACTTCCCTGAGAATCCCAAATTCCTTTATCCAAAAGATTTCGCTTGAAAATATCTTGCTTCTCACCTTTTAATTGCCACCACCTAATCCTTGGTGTTACTACTTGTCGACGTTTTTGGATTTTACTCATAATACACACATCAAGGACTAGGACCCTATGTTGTGTCGTTACAGCATCTCAGGGATCACCTTACAATTTTTACAAAGTTTTCTATCTGTGTTCCTAACCAAAAGAAAATCAATCTGCGACCTTGAGGCTCCACTTTTGTAGGTGATGAGATGCTCATCTCTCTTCTTGAAACAAGTGTTGGCAATCTTAAAATCATACGCCAATGAGAAATCAAGAAGAGTTTGCCCTTCATTGTTTAGCTCTCCAAAACCAAAACCACCATGCACCCTCGCATACTGACCAGCTTCCCTCCCGACATGCCCATTAAAGTCTCCTCCAATAAAAATCTTTTCACTCTGTGGTATGTGTCGAATCAACCCCTCCAGATCCTCCCAAAATAATTCCTTAAGACTGGCTTCTATCCCGACTTGCGGCGCATAAGCGCTAACAATATTAACAGTCTCACGTCCAATTATCATTTTTAAAGAAATAATTCTGTCTCCAATTCTGCTAACTTCTACAACGTTCTTCTTCCACTCCTTATCTATAATGATGCCTACTCCATTGCGTGCACTTACTTTTCCTGTATACCAAAGTTTTGAAACCTTGAATATCTTGCTTCTTCTCCACGCCATTTTGTTTCTTGCAAGCACAACAACAACAACAAGCCTTTATCCCACTAGGTGGGGTCGGCTACATGGATTGCAAGACGCCATTGTGCTCTATCATTTATTAAGCTTTTAGAAATATTATTAATTAAGAGATCACGTTCAACAACTTCCAAGAGTGTTCTCTTAGGCCTTCCTCTACCTCTCTTAATCGGACTCAAAGTTATATGTTCCACTCTTCTCACTGGTGCCTCCCTTGGTCTTCTTTGTACATGCCCAAACCATCTCAACCGATTTTCTACCATTTTTTCCTCAATAGGTGCCACCCTCACTTTTTCACGTATGTGCTCATTTCGAATTTTATCTTTACGTGTATGTCCGCACATCCATCGTAACATTCTCATCTCTGCTACTCCAACTTTATGCTCTTGCTGTCCCGTTAGAGCCCAGCATTCACTACTATATAACATTGCCGGTCTGATAGCAGTACGATAAAACTTTCCTTTAAGTTTATTAGGCACCTTACGGTCACAAATAACTCCTTTAGCTTTTCTCCAATTAAACCACCCAGCTTGAATTCTATGTGAAATATCTCCACTGATTTCGCCATCATTTTGGATAATGGCTCCCAAATATCTAAACTTTTCCACTTGAGGTATAATTTGATCTCCCAATTTCACTTCCAAATTATTTTCGAATAGTCCTTTATCAAATTTACAATATAAATATTCCGTCTTACTTCTACTCAGACGAAAACCTTTCGACTCCAATGTCCTCCTCCATAACTCAAGTTTGCAATTAACCTCTTCTCTTGTCTCTGCTATAAGAACTATATCATCCGCGAAGAGCATACATTTCGGGATTTCCTCTTGAATATGTTCCGTCAAAACATTTAAAATCAAGTTGAACAAATAAGGACTCAGAGATGATCCCTGATGTAGCCCAATCTTTATAGGAAAATCCTTTGTTTGACCACTAGGCGTTCTTATACTAGTTTTTACCCCCTCATACATATCTTGTATGGCTTTAATATAAGCAATCCGTACTCCCTTTTTTTCCAACGCTTTCCAAAGCACTTCTCTTGGTATACGGTCATAAGCTTTTTCCAAATCAATAAAAACCATGTGTAGATCTTTATCTTTACAACGATACTTTTCCATTAATCCCCTTAGTAGATAAATCGCCTCTGTAGTTGATCTACCTGGCATAAAACCAAATTGATTCTCAGAAATACTTGTCTCCAATCTCAACCTGTGCTCAATTACTTTCTCCCACAATTTCATTGTGTGGCTCATGAGTTTAATCCCTCTATAGTTAGTACAATTCTGAATATCTCCTTTATTTTTATAAATAGGAATTAATGTACTTCTCCTCCACTCATCAGGCATTTTCTTGGACCGTAAAATCACATTAAATAACTTAGTTAACCATCTCACCCCTTCTTCACCTAAACATTTCCACGCTTCGATAGATATACAATCAGGTCCGTTAGCTCTACCATTTGCCATTTTCTTAAGAGCTTCCTTTACCTCCTTATCACGTATTTTTCGATAGAATGACAAATTTTGTTCTCCTTCACCAGTTACTAAATCCTCCAAGTTACTAGATGAATCCTCTCCATCATTGAAAAGTTTAGAAAAATAAGTCTCCCATCTATTTTTAATTTCATCATCTGTAACTAAAATTCTTCCCTCTTCATCCTTAATACACCTTACCTGTTCTAGATCTCTTGATTTTCTTTCCCTACTCTTGGCAATCTTATAAATATTTTGCTCTCCTTCCTTCGTCTCAAGGTTCTTATAAAATTCTTCAAAAGCTTTAGAACGAGCTTCACCCACAGCTCTCTTAGTTTCCTTCTTAGCCATACGGTACCTCTCCCAATTTTCCTCATTGTTACACAAATGTATGGCTTTAAAACAGTTCTTCTTATACTTGATTTTGTCCTGTACACTATTATTCCACCACCAAGACTCCTTATCTCTCGGACCAGAACCTTTCGATTCTCCCAAAACTACTTTTGCAACCTCCCGTATCTTTTTAGCCATATCCTCCCATATGATGTTAGCACTTCCCTGAGAATCCCAAATTCCTTTATCCAAAAGATTTCGCTTGAAAATATCTTGCTTCTCACCTTTTAATTGCCACCACCTAATCCTTGGTGTTACTACTTGTCGACGTTTTTGGATTTTACTCATAATACACACATCAAGGACTAGGACCCTATGTTGTGTCGTTACAGCATCTCCAGGGATCACCTTACAATTTTTACAAAGTTTTCTATCTGTGTTCCTAACCAAAAGAAAATCAATCTGCGACCTTGAGGCTCCACTTTTGTAGGTGATGAGATGCTCATCTCTCTTCTTGAAACAAGTGTTGGCAATCTTAAAATCATACGCCAATGAGAAATCAAGAAGAGTTTGCCCTTCATTGTTTAGCTCTCCAAAACCAAAACCACCATGCACCCTCGCATACTGACCAGCTTCCCTCCCGACATGCCCATTAAAGTCTCCTCCAATAAAAATCTTTTCACTCTGTGGTATGTGTCGAATCAACCCCTCCAGATCCTCCCAAAATAATTCCTTAAGACTGGCTTCTGTCCCGACTTGCGGCGCATAAGCGCTAACAATATTAACAGTCTCACGTCCAATTATCATTTTTAAAGAAATAATTCTGTCTCCAATTCTGCTAACTTCTACAACGTTCTTCTTCCACTCCTTATCTATAATGATGCCTACTCCATTGCGTGCACTTACTTTTCCTGTATACCAAAGTTTGAAACCTTGAATATCCTTAGCTTCTTCTCCACGCCATTTTGTTTCTTGCAAGCAAAGGATATTGATTTTCCTTTGAATCATAACCCCTACAACCTCTACAGATTTACAATTTAATGTCCCAACATTCCAAGTACCAAATCTAATTTTGCTCTTATGGACTAACTTCTTTAGCCGCGTGCGTCCAAAATGACGCGGTAGCCCTTGCTCATTTAACACTACATCCGGGCGCCGATGCAGCGGCTCTAACTCACTTATCACTGTACTCGAGCCATGCAGCGCGTTACTTACGGGCAACGACCTAGCATTAACATTATAACGTCTATTGTCCATGTTCATGATAGATTCAACAAATTTTTACATTGGCTGTTGATGGCCTAACACAACCCTCCTCCTTTACCCGGGCTTGGGACCGGCTATAAACATAGGCGGAGTTTGTTTCTTGCAAGCAAAGGATATTGATTTTCCTTTGAATCATAACCCCTACAACCTCTACAGATTTACAATTTAATGTCCCAACATTCCAAGTACCAAATCTAATTTTGCTCTTATGGACTAACTTCTTTAGCCGCGTGCGTCCAAAATGACGCGGTAGCCCTTGCTCATTTAACACTACATCCGGGCGCCGATGCAGCGGCTCTAACTCACTTATCACTGTACTCGAGCCATGCAGCGCGTTACTTACGGGCAACGACCTAGCATTAACATTATAACGTCTATTGTCCATGTTCATGATAGATTCAACAAATTTTTTACATTGGCTGTTGATGGCCTAACACAACCCTCCTAGAAATTATCCTAGAAATTTGGATGTGGTCTTATGTAGTTTTCCTACACCTCTTGATTGCCGAATTAATTATCACCATAGAATGCAGTTCACATGCCTACATGCTGTGGCTCTAAACTGATGTTTTCACTAAAAACTGCAAGATTGTTGTAATATGTGATTAAATTGTAAAACTACAATGCATTACAGTTCTGTAAAATTTCTACATGCCTTTCGACCTAACATAATACTAAATGGATAGTGTCAATGTGGGAAATTAGAGTTTTATTTTCGCTATTTTACAATTATGCTTTCCCTACATCTGGAATAGATTTTTCTTATAATTCATATTATAGATGAAACCTAACATTTTGCTTCATACATGGTATTTGTATCATTTTTTATTTTTACAACTTCATATATCTAATTCCATCTTGATCTCCTTGTAATTTCATTTTTTCCTGATCTAACTAGTAACAGGCATCATGTTGTTTGGAGGAAAAGGTTCTTTTGATTTTTTGAGTGTAGGTCCAAACGCTATATTCACATGTCAATTGGGATAATTGATTTTTTTTTTTTAATATCATGTACACTATCCAGCTAAATGTCAGTATTTATCATCTTTTGCTATTGGCAGGGAGGGGATCCTTCTCAACAGCGCAATTTTGCTTTTGAGGTAGGTAGTGCTTCCTTTTGGCATTGTGGAAGTGGTTTTTCTTTTTCTTTTTATTTATTACTTTTTTTCCCTTTTTTATTTTTTTATGAGTATTTTATTACTATTCTTTCTTTTGTTTATCTTTCACAATTCTAGTCAAGATCCGTTATTATGTGTCATGTCAGGTGAAATATGACATTCATTGCTCACAACATCATCTTTGGTAGAAGAACAAGGGCTGTTTTTTCTTTACCATCTTAACTAGTTTTTGTTGGTGATTCAGTTCTCTTATTTTTGATGCAAACACGAAACAGGCATTGTGTCATGGCAATTGAGTTTCATCATTTTTCACTACCATTAACCTGAATGGCTATTTAATAGCTCTTAAAAGGAGGAGGATGTTTTTGTCAAATCCACTAGTTCCATGCTGTGAAAATGACTGAGCACAATATTTTTCTCAGTCCAATGATTTTGTTTAGAGCAACTAAAGTGTTTAAATATAAGAGGCAAACTGCCCCATAGCTTAATGAAATCTAGGTTAAAATCGCTACTGGATATTTAAATAATAAATGTCTAATACTGAGAAACGTAATAAATAAAATATAAAATTATATCTAAACAGAAATTACCAAAGGCTATGATGTTGTTCTCCAACATCCATCAGCTAGTGGTTTGATAATTTTCAATGGAGCTATATATTACTGTAACACTGTTGCCCTTCCATGTGTTTACATGTCATACGAGGATGGAGGCTAAAGTGTGAGTGTGGTAGAGATTCTTTACATTATTGATGTACCTTTTTAACTAACACACCCTGTAGTTATGCTGATGAAATTTTAGGTAGCAACATCTTCCTTGGCCTCCTTGGCAAGATTTGCATGGGGATCAAAATCTGTAGTGGACAGTTCAGTGAACAAAGAGATTGCTTCAAATTTTCCCATGCATTTGCAGCTTTATGAATTTGGTAAATCTTCCACCTTACTTGAGTTTTTGGAAAGAGTCCTCACTTTATAGTGATGCTAATGATAGGGAGAAGGCTCCTTTTCTTTCCTCTCATTTAGTCATTAAACTGATTAAACTCTCGTAAGATGATTATTTTTTTTTTAAGTATGAGTACTCTTAGCTTCAATGTTGGTAATTTACTTATTCTGTATCATGACCTAAACCAATTGTTTAATGGGTATAGGTGCATTTTTGCCCTTAATGTTTTCTTCAAGAAGCACCTAGTACCCTAAGATATTTCACATAGTATTTTCGCCCTTTAAGTAATTAATTGGGAGCAATTTTACCCCTAGCATTAAATCATCAAACATTGATTGTTAAGTTGAGGAGAGAGGAAGAAATATGATCCAAAACATGCCAGGTGACATCCAACATGGATCCTATTAGAAGAGTGAGTATAGTGACTTGTGAAGGGCAAAATGGAGATTCATCTGATGCACTATGATTACCATCAATCTATAAGCAAATCAATAAGTAACATTGCAACAGATTTATAAATCATATCTATGAGAAAATCAATAAAATCTAATATAAGCAACAAAATCGAACAATCTCTATTCAACAAAATTGAACATATTATTTAACAATATAAAACTAGATTTGAGGCATGGCGATTGAACCAGTCATGGTTTATAGGTTCAACAATCAACAAAGCTAACACGATCAAAGCTAACAAGCTAACAAGTCCATGGTATGCAGATTTAGCAATCAACAAATCAAACATATTATTCCACAACCTCTGTTTGAAGAATTGGACATAATTATTTCCTTTAAAATGATCGTTGAATGTGAGACTATCAATGGAAGTTGGTCTTAAGGAATTGTTTTGGGAGACTTAGAGAGGTTGATTCAATGTATACGACAAAGTGAAAAGATCAATTTGATACTGATATGAAAATATTAGGGGCTATAGGAATTAGTTGGGGCAGGGGTGTAAATGTTATTTCTATGGGGTGGTATTGTTACTGTTATTTTGGTCTAATAGTCTAGCCCTATAAATACCCAAGTCCAGATACACAGTGTTGTGTTTTAAACTCATTTAATAAAAGGCACTATTTAGAAATGTCTCATCTAAACTTCCCTGTATTCTCTCCTTCTCGTCTACCTATCTCTCTTCTCTCTTCATCTCTTTCTATCCTAATAGTGGTATCTAGAGCTAGTCCTTCCTCCCTCATATGCCTGTCACTCATTTGCAAACAAGAATGGTTGAAGAAACAGATGCAAGACTCACGATGGTTGAAAATCAGATTGAAGGGTTCACTGCCTAGATTGTAGAACTTGTCCGCACGGTAGAAGAGTCACGAACTCATCTCGAGACAGACTCCAATGTGGCAAAAGGACACCATTGAAGAATTGGAGAAGGACGCCAGTGACCAAGACAAGAACGAGAATACCAACCTCCTACCTAATTTACCAAGATGGAGTTTCCAAGATTTCAGAGAGGAGATGTTCTTGGATGGCTCATGAAGTGCGATCAGTACTTCCAGCTTGATAACACCCTAGACGTGTGGAAGGTCATGATGGCTAGTATTCATCTTGATGAGAAGGCTTTTCAATGGCATCAAAGCTTCATGCGTACCAAAAGGAGACGTGCGACTGGATGGGAGGAATATTTAGAAGCCATAAAGAACCGATTTGGACCTACTTATGAAGCACCCATGGCAGAACTGATGCGGCTGCAATAGACAGGGAGCTTAGGAGATTACAATGATTCTTTTGATGAAATCGTATGTAAGCTGGACCTAATTGAGGAGTATCTAGTGCAGACCTATTTAGAGGGTTTACAAGAAGAATGTGCTAGGCTAGTGAGGTTACTTAAGTCCATAACTGTTCAAGATGCAAGAAGTCTGGCCCGACTTCAAGAAATATACCTTCAGAGATCACTAGAAGCAAACACGTGCTCAAGAAAGGTGTCCTACGCATCACAGAGCAGTATCACGACATCCGCAACCTCTTTGCATTCTGCGAATGCCTAGGCAGCACTGAAACAGAGCTTCTCATGTGATGGGTCTCGCCAAAACACAACTAAAACAGTGCGGCCAACCTCAGAATCCTCAATTGTGCAAAGCTTAGCGTCTAACACAGCAAAAGATTCATCTTCTTCTCGCCAATTTATTTCTGGGATTAAAATTCCCACAAAATTAACACCAAAGGAGGAGGCAGAACACAGAGCACAAAACCTCTGCTTTTACTGTCATAAAAAATTTTCTAGAGGCCATAATTGCCCTCAAAGACGCAAGATGCAATTGCAATTAATAGGGCTGGATGAAAATCTGGAGGAAGAGGAGATGGAACCTAACGAGATAGACCCTAATCAACGAGAAATTCCTCTTGAATGCCATCAAATTTCAATGCATGCCATTGAGGGTGAAGTTAGTATGAATTCTATAGGACTTCAAGGATATGTGGGAAGGAGACCTATCCAAATTCTCATAGATAATGGAAGCAGCCATGATTTTCTTGATTATGATTTGTCAAAGAAGTTGGGCTGGAATGAAGAAGAAGATGGATGAACTGATGCAGTGGTTGCAAGGGCTGGAAAATTGAAAATATATTGAGTTTGGAAGGCATTTAAATGGAAAATGTAAGGAGAAGACTTTGGCCAAGACCTCAGGATAATGAACATACGCACTTACGATATTGTGTTGGGCTGGGAATGGCTTAAATGCCTTCATTATGCTTTTTGGGATTATATTTCTGCTACTAAGTATTTCTGGAATGATGGGAAAATGTGTGTTTTGCAGGCACAACCTCCATCAAAATGGCAAATGGTTGATTCCAGCAAGTTGGAAATTAAGAATGGAGACGGGTGCCAATTATTTCTACTCCAATTGGCAGAAAATAGTCAGTTTTAGAGTCAAATCCATCCTGTGCAACCAACAGAAACCATTCTAGAGGCTGTTGGTGACCTTTTGGAAGTATTAAATAGTCTTTTTGATGAACCTAAAGGTCTGCCCCCTTTTAAGAAGGGTCATAACCACCCTATTCTTTTACAAGAAGGGACAGATCCTATTAATCTCAAGCCTTATCGTTATTCTTCTGCCCAAAAGGACCTTATTGAGAAAATGGTGGGAGAGTTGCTAGCTACAGGAGTGATACAAGAGAGTAGCTTCCCTTTTCCTGCGCCTATTGTGTTGGTAAAAAAGAAGGATGGCTCATGGCGCATGTGTATCAACTATCGTGAGCTTAATAAGAAGACAATAAAAAATAGATATTTTATTCCACTTGTGGAAGAATTATTGGATGAATTGAGGGAAGCTAGATGGTTCACAAAGCTGGATTTGAGAGTAGGATACCATCAAATCCGAATGGAGCCTCAAGACACATTTAAAACAGCCTTCCGGTCTCACTCAAGTCATTATGAGTGGTTGGTTATGCCATTTGGCTTAACCAACACTCCAGTAACATTTCAGGGAGCAATGAACTCTATTTTTAGACCTTACTTACACCACTTTGTTCTTGTTTTCTTTGATGACATTTTAGTTTATAACTCAAATTTGAATCTGCATGCTCAGCATCTAAGACTAGTGTTTGAAATTTTGCAGAAAAATCATTATTTCATCAAGAGAAGCTGGTGTACATTTGCCAACAATAAGGTGGAATACTTAGGGCACGTTATTAGTAACGGAATGGTGGCTACTGACCCTCAGAAAATTCAAGCAGTGGTAGATTGGCCTGCACCAACTACTATTAAACAATTGCGGTCTTTTTTAGGGCTTGTCGGGCACTATAGAAGGTTTATCAAAGGGTATGGACAAATAATCAAACCCTTGATGGACCTTTTAAAGAAAAATGCATTCAAGTGGCATGAAGAAGCTGCTGTCACATTCAAGAAGATGAAACAAATACTTGTTTCGGCACCGGTTTTATCTCTCCCAAATTTCAATAAAGAGTTTTGTAGTGGAAATGGATGCTTGTGGAAAGGGAATTGGGGCTGTCCTGCTCCAAGAAAATCGACCCATTGCATTTTTCAGCAAGCTTTTGTGTCCCAAATAGCTCCAGCTTGCAGTTTATGATAAGGAATTATTGGCAGTTGTCCTAGCTGTTGAGCAGTGGTGTCAATACCTTGAACAGATCAGCAAATCCTTTGATTTTTGTTGGGACAGAAGTTGAAGACCCCTTTTCAGATGTATTGGGTTACAAAGTTAATGGGGTATGACTATGAAATTCATTATAAAAGTGGGAATGATAACACGGCTGCAGATGCTCTTTCTTGACTCTCACGACCTCAGCAACTTTAGATGATTTTAGATGCATCATTTCCAGAATTATTACACAAGCTTGAGGAGAGTTGGGAGTTGGATCCAGATCTCAAGGGCCTTATTTCTAAGTTACAGAGACAAAATGGCAGTATTAAAGCCTATTCTTGGGATGGCAAATTCCTTAGAAGAAATGGGAAGTTGGTGGTGGGGGAAAGTCCAGCTTTGAGGCTATTTATTCTAGAATGGTTACACGCTAGTGCTCAAGGGGGACACTCTGGAACACAAGACACATATCAGGAAATCAAAGGGTTATTTTGGTGGAAGAAAATGCTATGAGATGTGCAGGATTTTGTCAAAAATTGTGACACTTGTGCCTGCTGTAAGTATGAGACAGTAGCAAGTCCGGGGTTATTATAGCCACTACCAATTCCGAGTAAGGTGTGGGAGAGTTTTACTGTGAATTTTATTGAAGGGCTCCCTAAATCATGTGGGAAAGAAGTCATTTGGGTTGTAGTGGATAGAATAAGCAAGTATGCCCATTTTATGGCCCTATCTCACCCATTTTCAGCTTCTATGTTAGCTCAAGCATTCTTGGATAATATATATAGATTGCATGGAGCCCCAGTTGAAGTGATAAGTGATAGGGATCTAGTGTTTATTAGTAATTTTTGGAAGGAGTTCCTCAAGGTGATTAGAGTGGAGCAAAAGCTTACTTCTTCCTACCATCCTCAAACCGATGGTCAATCTGAGGTGCTCAATC